CCCATCCCATCCCATCTTTCTCCACTGGAAGCTGGGAATGGGCTTCCATGGGTTTTTATCCATAGGATTGTGGCAGCTTCCATGGATTTCCTCCCAGAACTTGACCCCTGATCCCAAAAAATCTCTGAGGATCAAATCCGCGGAATGTTTGGTCTTTGTGGGAATGAGGATGAAGGAAATGAATCAAGGAAGTGATGCAAAATGGGTGGAAAAATTGGCCAGGGATGAGAATTCCATGCAAGCTCATCCAGAGGGATCCCAGCTCCCGGTGGGATCATCCCAACCTCTGGAAAGGAGAGTCTCGGGTGAAGAGCAGGGAGCCCCGATTCCCAAAAAATCCAAGGAAAACCTGGGAAAAAGGGGGGATTTGAGGCACATCCCGGGGCAGGGGAGGGACGTCGCGGCCGCTGCTCCCAGAATAACGAGGAGAACAAGGGAAACAAGGGAAAAAGGAAAACAAGGGAAAAAGGAAAACAAGGGAAAAAGGAAAACAAGGCTCCCTTGCCTTTCTCCGGAGGGTTCCGCTCATGCCGGGAGCCGGAGCACAAGGAAAGGCTTGTCCGGGATTCCCGAGGGCTGGCAAGGGCGGTCGGTGCCATCCCGTGACCTCCGGAGCTTCCCGGGAAACGGGAATGAATGTGCAGCCTGGAATACTGACTGGATCCTGCTTGTTCTCCTGCCTCCTCCATTGGTGGATTTGGCCGTCCCTCGATTTCTGCTGGGAAAGTCTGGGAGGAAATTCCCAAAAAAATCCTTTGGGGATTTTGGGTTTGGAGCCACCCCAGGGTGTTCAGTCCTGGGAATATTTGGAATTTTTTTTGCGTGGAAAGGGAGAGCTGTCAGAGCTGCTTCCCAGAGGTTTGGAATAATCCCAGGAAAAAGAAATTTCCCAGGATAAATAAATTTCCTTTTCCCATGCAAAGCTGGGGCTTGGAAAAGGATTTTTTCCAGGCTATCCCAATTTTTCTGCTCCTGGTGGATTTTTTCCAGCAGATTTTGGATCCTCTTCCACCTGGCACCTCCCTAAGGAGTTTTTTCCCTGTGGGATCCCTTTCCCTGACAATTCCATCCCTTTAATTCCCGCTTTAAAGTGGCTTTCCCCCCTTTTTCCCATTGAAAAGCTGACTTTGGGAAAGGTTGGATTAATGGGATCTTCCCACTGGAGCCTTTTCTTGGGATAGATCCAAACTGCTCCATCCCGGCTGGAAAATCCTGTTGGATCCAAGGATTTGTGATGGGATGTGAAATAACTCTGATGGATGAATCCCTGGCTCATGCTCATTCCAATGGGAAAAGTGACTTTTCCCCCTCTCCAACTTCCCAAAAAGTCGAGAAAAACCCTGGGATATTTTTTCCCCCTCAAGAAAATGGAATTCCAAGGAGCTGGAGGAGGGAAAATTCCCGGGGGTGGTGCCCCAGGGCAGCTCCGGGGGCTGGGAATGTTTTGTTCTCCATCCGGAGCTTCCTGAGGTGGGAAGCACTCGGAAAACAGAGTGGGAAGCCAACTGGGCTTGCTTCCGGAATTTGTGCCGGAGGAGGAATTTCGGGATTGTTCTCGGCACGTGGGGCCTGGGAAAGTTTGGTTTTCCTCCTCCGGAAGTTTTCCCAGATGGAAAACGATCCAAACTCGGCTCGCTGAGGGTGCCAGGGATGGGTTTTGCGCCTTTCCAAGAATTCCATGAGACCCATGGAAACCTGGGAAGCGGCTCCAGGATCCAGGAGGGATGAGGATTCCTGGGAGTAGCTCAGCTCTGTCCAGCCTCCCTTGGAGCGTTTTCCCAACGTTTGGGAAGAGGGGAGGCCATTCCCAGGATTTCTAGGCGGTCGAAATCCTTGAAAAGTTGAACTCCATGGAAATCCCGGGCTGGAAAAACCTCAGCTGGGAGATTCCCAGCTGGAATTGTCCCACCTCCCTCATTCCATGGATTCTGTCGCTGCTCCAAGCCCCATCCAACCTCACCTTGAACATTCCAAAGATCCAGGGGCAACTCTGGCTTCTCTGGGAATTCCAGCCCAGCCCCTCCCCACATTCCTAGGGAAGAATTCCTTCCATAATCCCATAATCCCACTTTTTTTTGAACCACCAATCCATGATTTTGATGGAATTCCTTTGTCCTCTAGTAGGACTTTGGCTGCCACGTGGAATTCTCCAAAAGTGGGAGGAGGAAATGGGATTGGAAGCACCAAAAATTCCCTGCTGGGGGTCGGATCCCGGCCCTCCGGAGCAGCAGGAAGGGCTGGGGTGTTTTCCCTGGAATTCCCGGGAAATGAATGGAATTTTTTCCTTTCCCTCTCTGCACAGAGCTCCATGAGGGACCTGCACAAGTCTGAGGTGCTGGGGAGCAAGCGCGGCCTGGTGAGTGTCCCGAGCCGGGAATTCCCACCTGGCTGCGACAAAATCCATGGAAAACTCATCCCGAGCCAGCCCAGAGCCCCCCAGGGGCCGGCTCCACTCCGGAGATCCCTCGGAACGAAGGGAATTCATGGCATTCCCACCCCACATCCCAAATTTCTTTGGGGTTTCCCTCTTGGGATGGAGCATCGATCCCGTGGTGAGGTGGGATTGGGAATTCCAAACCCAGGGCCGGGCTGGATTGGGAATTCCAAACCCATGGCAAGGTCAGGTCGGGAATTGCAGCCCCACAGTGAGGTTGGATCAGGAATTCCAGCCCCATGGCCGGGCTGGATTGGGAATTCCAGCCAGCTCCTGCTCCTGAGTTTTCCCCTCCCATCCTGGATTGGGATGGGGAGGTGGCTTTGGAGGCGCTCTCCCAGTCTGCTTTGAGGTTTTCCAGCCTGGATTTCCATCCCAAAAAATTTCAAGGATATCAACCCCAAAATATGCCCTGGCTCCAGCTGGGTGGGATCTGGGATCACCCCAAATCCATTCCCAAACAGACCAAATCCTTTGGGATTTAATCCCCGAGGCTCCCACATCCCTCGGTCCTGATGCTCCCCGGTGCAGATTCCGTGTGGAATCCACCAGAAATTCGGGATCACGGGTCTGTCCCAGGAATCCCCCAGGAATGGGGCACAGCAGTGAGTCCAGAGGGGATTTTTCCCCCTAAAAAATTCCAAATTTTAACTTTTTTTCCCCGTTTTCTGCACATGGGAATTGAGAGATGTCCATGGGGTGGGATTGGGCAGCTCCAGCTCCTTCCTGGTGATTCCAGATCCTTGATTTTCCTCCGGAAAAGCGGCTCCTGTTTGTGCCCAGCCTTAATGAGCCATTGATGCTGGAAATGTCAAACTCCAGCATTCCTGACCTTTCCCATGGAAAAAACTTCCAGGGATGTGCTGGATCCGGAGGGAGAGAGGGAAAACAACCCCACACCCGAGCCTGGGATCGGCTTGGATTTGGGATTTCTACAAAATCCCCAAATTCCTACAAAACTCAGCCTTGATTTTATCCAGAAAATCCCAGACAGGGAATTTTTGTCGCAACCTCTGTGCCAGGAGAGAGGCAGAAAAACTGGGAATAACGGGATTTGGGAAAGGCTCCTGCTCCTGAATCCCTTTCCTGAAAACCTCGCAGTTTTTTGCACTGGATTTCCTTTTCCCGATGATTTTTCCAAGCAAATCCCTCCCTTTTTTTCCCCCCCTGCTACTCAACCAAATCCGTTGGAAGAGCGAGGGAAAATCTCTTTATTCCCATTAAAAACCCTCAGGGCATGGGAAGTGCCATGGTGACAACACAAAAGGGCAGGGGCACAATTCCAAGGGGGAAAAAAAAAAGGCTGGAAGGGAGGAATTTTTCCTCCCAAAAAATTCCAGGTGAAGGCAGGGATGAATTTCTCCGTGAGCTCGGACGCTCGGGGCGGATTACCGGGAGCTATTTTTAGGATATCCAGGTTTTTTCGGGATTAGGGCCGGGGCTCTGCCTGTTGTTGTGGCCACAGCTCCCTTCCCGATATTTCCCTCGCTCCCGCTGTTTCCAAGACTCCCGAGGGATGAAAGGATCCTTTGAAAAGCCAAACACATGGAGACAAGAGCTGCTCCTGCTGCCGCTCCGGGAAAGGCCGGAGCTGCCAGAAAAGCGGGAAAACGTCCAAGCACGGCTGGGGGGTTGTTCCTGGGTTCTTTTCCCTGTTTTCCAGGCATTGCTGTTCCCAGGGAATGAGGGCAAAGCCGACAGGATTTTACTCCTGGGATCTTTTCCCTGTTTTCCAGGCATTGCTATTCCCAAGGAATGAGGGCAGAGCTGGGGATTTACTCCTGGGTCCTTTTCCACCAGGATCAGCTCGTGGATCCTTGGGATCCCTGCTGGATCCTGGGCTGCTCCGTGCAGGAAAACCTGCGGAAAACACGGAATATTCCCAATGCTCCCTCCATCCCCCTCCCGCCCCAATTCCCGCTCTCCCGCCATCCATTTCCAACCCATCACATTCCAAGCCGGAATTCCTTTGTCGTGTGCACCCAGGCGTGTCCTGGATGAGCATTCCCACTCCAAAGGGGAGCAGCTGGAATTCTGTGGCTTTCTGAGCCTTTGGGAGCCCTTCCAGCGATGGTGCTGTGGGTTTATCGGGAATGTTCTTGTTGGAATGAGCCCATCCCGATGCTTCCATGTCCATGGTAAAAACAGGAGAGCAACCGGGAATGCTTTTATGGGAATGGGTTTTTTTGGGGATGCTGAGCTTTCTTTTTGAGCCTTTTTGGGAGCCATTCCAACACCGGGAGAAGGCTTTCGATTTTTTGGGAATGCTCATGTTGGAATGGGCCCATCCCGATGCTTCCATGTCCATGGCAAAAACAGGAGAGCAACCAGGAATGGTTTTTTGGGAATGGTTGTTTTTTGGGAATGGTTGTTTTGGGAAAGCTGAGCTTTCTTTTTGAGCCTGTTAGGAACTATTCCCTCTCCAGGGGATGCTTTCAATTTTTTGGGAATGCTCATGTTGGAATGGGCCCATCCCAATACTTCCACATCCATGGTAAAAACAGGAGAGCAACCAGGAATGGTTTTTTGGGAATGGTTGTTTTGGGAATGGTTGTTTTGGGAATGCTGAGCTTTCTTTTTGAGCCTGTTAGGAACTATTCCCTCTCTGGGGGATGCTTTCCGTTTTTCGGGAATGCTCATGTTGGAATGGGTCCATCCCAATGCTTCCATGCCCATGGTAAAAACAGGAGAGCAACCAGGAANCTCGGAGCTGCCGGAGCCAGGAGAGCTCCAGGCTGTCCCTGGAATCTGGGTCACCGAGCTTCCCTCAGCCGGGGATCAGGGATCCAGGGATTAGGATTCACCTTGGATTAACTCAGCCTGCCGGCAAGGTCCGAGGCTGAAAACCGGGATAAACGCAGCCGGAATCCTGGATTTTTTAGGGATTTTTCCCCTGATATTGCCTTTATTTTTCCTTTGCCTTTTCCAGGTGCCCTGGGAATGGCACATTCCTTGTCCTTTTCCCAGTGTGTGCCAACAATTTGTATCAAAATTCCGGATTTCTTGGGAAGAAACGATCCCTAATAACCAAACTCAGTGTTGTCCTCTTAATATCCTGATAAATTTTGGGAAAATCCATCAAATCTTATGGTAAAAAGGCATTTACTCGGCTGATTCCTCAGAATAAAAGAGGTGGAATTTCAATTTTTGCTGTTAAAAATTCCATCCACCTGGAATTCCACGGTTTCTGTGGGAATTTCTGTTGCGGCCGGGGTGTGAATAAAGTTCTGGCAATGCAAATCAGAAACTCGGGAAAAGCAGGATAAGCTGATCCTTTGGATAAGCAGTAGGGGCCGGAACATTTCATATAACAAAGATAAAACCAGGAATTGCATCCCAGGAATTCACTGGGAGGCAGAACTAAGGAATCACCGACATTCCCCCGTTTCCTTTTCCTTCTCTGTCTCATCTTTGTGAATTTTTCCTTCCCAAATTCCTCCCCTGCAGCTCGAGGGAGGGAATGAATCCCAAGAAACCTTGGGAGCGACAGCTCTGGAGCCGTTCCTGGCCCCGCTCCGAGTTCCTGGAGCTGCCGAGGGCAGAATTCCCAGCACGTTCCTTTGTTCCCAATAAACGGAGCCGGGAGCTCGGCACTGGGAAAGTCGGGAAGGAAAATCCATGAAATATTCAGCGGCTGTGCCGAGCTGACCCAGTTATTCCGCACGCTCCGGCACGGAGCCAGAACGGAGCAGGGAAGGACACCGGGGTGGCATCCGGACACGGAGCTTCCTTGGGAATGGAAAAGGTTCCCATCCCGGTGGGAATCTTCCCAGGAGGCTCCGTTAAAGCTTTGGAAATTCCGCACGGAAAGATCCCAGCCTGTGGGATTGGGGATTTGCAGGGAGTTGTGTGATCCCAGAATTTGGGGTTTGTTCCGTGGAGGAGAACCTTGGAAAATGGTGGTTCCGAAGTTTGGGAAGGAAATCCAAAATTTGTGAGGGAAATTCCAAGTGCTCCAGCTCCAGGCTGGGTTGGATGAGCTTGGAGCAACCGGAGATAGGGAAAGGGATCCTGGGCGATGGCAGGGATTGGGAATGGATCCCCTGGGAGATCTTCCCACCCAAACTGTTCTGGGATTCTGGGATTTGTGCAGGATCCAATGGCTGAGGGGCTTTGGAGCCTCTGGAATCTCTTCCAGTCCTTTCACCCATGGATTTGGATAATGAAAGGAGAAGTTTGGATATTGGGAAAACTCCCTCACATAAAGGGTTTTCCAGCCCCGTCCCCATTCCCAGAGGGATTGAACATCCCTGTGGATGCAGCCCTTGGGGACACGGATCAGTGCTGGGAATGGTTGGACTCCACGACCTTGGAGTGCTTTTCCAACCCCAATATTCCATGATCCCATGAATTCATGCTGAGCTCCCAGCTGTCCTTTCCCTGCTCCATGGAGTCTGGAGAAACCCCTTCCATCCATGGATCAGCTGGGAATACTGGGAATATTGGATAAACCCAGTCCCTGGCTTGGCCCATCCCAGGCTGAACTGCATTCCCCTTTTGCAACAATTTCCCATCCCTGGAAACACAATTTTCTCCTGAAATTTGATGGTTTTCCTGATGTTTTCCTTGCTTTTCCACTCCAGACCGGCCGGATCGAGCCGAACTATCCCAAAGTTTGTGGTCACCAGGGAAATGTGCTGGACATCAAGTGGAACCCCTTCATTGAGAACATCATCGCCTCCTGCTCCGAGGACACCTCGGTGAGCTGGAATTCCGGGATGCAATTCCCAGATCCATCCATCCTCCCCATCCTATTGATTCTTCCCTGTTTTGATATTTCCACGGCATTTGTTTCGGGAATGCTGAGGGACAGGAGATCAAAGCCAATCCCAAATTGTGCCCAGCCTGGCTCCTGGGCCAGAATTCCCTCCTGTTCTTTATTTTCTGGACACAAATCCAGAGGATCCAGAGGGTAATTCCCATGAGGAGCAGCTGAAGGAGCTGGGAATGCTCAGCCTGGAGAAAAATGGGATCCGGAGGGAATTCCAGGCTCTCCACAAAGCCCTGACAGGAGCGGGCAGCTGGGAGAGGTCCCAGGGAAGGTTCAGGTTGGAAACCTCCATGGAGACAATGGAAAAGAGGAGCTAAATCCTGGGAAAATCCCTGGTGGTTTTCAGAGCAACTAACCTGGAAAATCTGGGAGTCTTTATCCCAAAGGATCCCAAAATGTGGAGTCTGGAGGGTCAGGTTTGGGGTCTCGGGACAAGGAAGGGCTGGGAATCTGGGAGTTCAGGATGAGGATTCCAACGCCATGTCTGGNCCCGCAGGGGATGTCATGGCGGCCGCAGTACCGCAGCTCCAAGTTCCGGAATGTTTACGGGAAGGCGGCGAGCCGGGAGCACTGCTTCGACGGAATCCCCATCACCAAGAACGTCCACGACAACCATTTCTGCGCCGTCAACGCGCGCTTCCTGGCCATCGTCACCGAGAGCGCCGGCGGCGGCTCCTTCCTCGTCATCCCGCTGGAGCAGGTGAGATTCCCAATGGGAATTCCTACATGGAGCCATCCCAAAATGTCCGAATATTTGCCTGGTTTGGATTCCCAAAGTGTCCCAATTCCTTCTGCTTTTACTGGGGTTTCCTCATCATCCTGCTGGAGCAGGTGAGATTCCCAATGGGAATTCCCAAAAAAGTGTCCAGATCTCTTTTTCCTGGGGTTTCCTTGTGATCCCGCTTGAGCAGGTGAAATTCCCAGCAGGAATTCCCAAAAAAGTGTCCAGATCTCCTTTTCCAGTCATTTCCTCATCATCCTGCTGGAGCAGGTGAGATTCCCAACGGGAATTCCCAAAAAAGTGTCCAAATCTCCTTTTCCTGGGGTTTCCTTGTGATCCTGCTGGAGCAGGTGAGATTCCTGACGGGAATTCCCAAAAAAGTGTCCAAATCTCCTTTTACTGGAGTTTCCTCATCATCCTGCTGGAGCAGGTGAGATTCCCAATGGGAATTCCCAAAAAAGTGTTCAAATCTCCTTTTCCAGTCATTTCCTCGTCATCCCGCTGGAGCAGGTGAGATTCCCAACGGGAATTCCCAAAAAAGTGTCCAAATCTCCTTTTCCTGGGGTTTCCTTGTGATCCTGCTTGAGCAGGTGAAATTCCCAGCAGGAATTCCCAAAAAAGTGTCCAGATCTCCTTTTACTGGCGTTTCCTCATCATCCTGCTGGAGCAGGTGAGATTCCCAATGGGAATTCCTACATGGAGCTATCCCAAAATGTCCGAATATTTTCCTGGTTTGGATTCCCAAAGTGTCCCAATTCCTACTCCTTTTACTGGGGTTTCCTCATCATCCCGCTGGAGCAGGTGAGATTCCCGACGGGAATTCCCAAAAAAGGAATCAGCTCCTTGGAATCTCATTCCACTGCTCTTTCCTTTTCTTTGGGTTTTCCAGGGAATGGCTGGAGGCATGCCAGGGGTTTAAGGTTGGAATTTTGGGAAAAGTTTGTCATCCAGAGGGTGGTCGGGCACTAGAACGNCAGGAACAGCTTCCACAGATCAGGGAGAGCTTCCATAGGCCAGGGAGACATTCCATGGGTCAAGGAGACATTCCATGGATCAGGAACAGCATCCATGACCAGGGAGACATTCCATGGACCAGGAAGAGCTTCCAAAAACCAGGAAGAGCTTCCGTAGACCAGGAAAGGCTTCCACAGATCAGGGAGAGCTTCCGTAGGCCAGGGAGACATTCCGGAGACCAGGGAGACATTCCAGAGACCAGGAGCAGCTTCCATAGGCCAGGCAGACATTCCATGGATCAGGAACAGCTCCCATAACCAGGAACAGCTTCCATAGACCAGGGGGAACTTCCATAGACCAGGAAGAGCTTCCATAGACAAGGAACAGCTTCCAAAAACCCAGGAACAGCTTCCATAGGCCAGGGAGACATTCCATGGATCAGGTAGACATTCTGTAGATCAAGAAGACATTCCATGGATCAGGAACAGATTTCACAGGTCAGGGAGAGCTTCCATAGACTGCGGAGACATTCCATGGACCAGAGAGACATTCCATGGATCAGGGAGAGCTTCCATAGACCAGGAACAGCTTCCATAGGCCAGGGAGAACTTCCATAGACCAGAAAGAGCTTCCATAGACCAGGAAGAGCTTCCATAGACCAGGAACAGCTTCCATAGACCAGGAACAGCTTCCATAGGCCAGGGAGACATTCCATGGATCAGGGAGATCTTCCATAGACCAGGAACAGCCTCCATAGGCCAGGGAGACATTCCATGGATCAGGGANACCCATTCCTGGATTCTGGGATTCTTGGATTGTTCCCAGAATCCGGGCACTCACCTGGGCTATTCCTGTATTCCCAGCAGGAATCCACATCCCATCCCTGGGCACCTGCAGCTCTGGGATGCTCCCAGCCTCATTCCCAGGAGGAATTTTGCCATGGCTGAGCTGCATTCCCAAATTTCCAGATCCCAAATTCCAGCTGGGAGAAGGAGCAGCTCTCCCTGGTTTTCTTTCCCTCCATCCCATCATTCCTTCACCCCTTTCCCTGTGCAGCATTCCCGCCTCTCCTGAATTCCTCGTTCATTCCGGAGGCAGCTCCAGATGGAAGGAATTCTAATCAGGGTTTAATTGCAGAGCACAGCTTGAGCCTCATTAATATTCCCAGAAAAAAAGAAACCCGGGAGCTTTGTCTGAGCACCCGGAGCGCTCCAGCTCCGGCCTCATCCCGGCTCCTTCCCCACGGATCCCAGCTGGAATCACCATCCACACCCCCTCGATCCCAAATCCTGAGGAACAGCCCCACATTCCCAGCAAATCCCACTTTTTTCCTGGCAAAATCCCGGTGGGATAAAAGCAGGGATGGCGTTCCAAAGGGATCCTCAGAAATCCTGGGATATCCAGCTGGTCAATCCCGCCTGGAGCGGCCCTGGATGCTGGAGGAGTTAATAAATTCCCGATTTTTTTTTTTTTTTTTGTCTGGAGCCTGATTAGCTCATTAAGGAGAAACTCATTTTCCTTGGAAATCAGCAGCTCCCTAATTAATTGTGATCCATAATTAGAAGCTAATGAAGGTAACCCGGATACCGCGGAGCCGCTCCGTGGATTTGCTGCCGTATTTTTGGATCTTTTCCCTGGATTTTGCCCTCAGCAAAGCTCCCGGAATCTGGGCCGGGCCATCTGCTCATCCCAGATCCACACCCCGGGGTTTTCATGGAGCGATCCAAGGGATGTGTGGGTTGGGAAGAGGGAGCTTTGCTCCTCCCTCCTCCCAGATTCCGGAGCCTCGGGATTGGGAATGAGCCTGTCCCCAGCACCAGGATAAAAATATCCCAAGGGAGTGGGCGAAGGATCAGGAGGAGCAGGATTGGCTCCCTAGGATTGGGAGAATCCCGGAATCCTGGAATAGTTTGGGTTGGAAAGGACCTTAAAACTCATCCCATTCCACGAACAGGACGGGGCTGGATTTGGGATGGGACAGGGACAATTCCCACTATTCCAGAATGCTCCAACGTGGCCTCGAGGATTTGATCCTGGAGACCTCTTGGAAAATATTCCTCTCTCCTGAGTCAGGGAACAAAATCCTTGGATGCTGCAATTCCATCAGGAAGCAGCTGGGTGCCTTCGCATCCCATCCTTCTGGAGCTCATCCCGTTCTCCTGGAGCCAAGCTGGGAATACTGGGAATGTTCCCTTGGAGAAGGGAAGGATCCAGGGAATCTTGCAGGGCCTAAAGGAGCTCCGGGAAAGCTGGAGAGGGATCTGGGATAAGGATTTTGTTGGGATCCCTTTGCAGGGATTCACTTCCATGGAAACAGAGGGATTTTGGTTCCCGCCAGGAACATTGGTTTTTCCAGAGGCAAAATATTCTCTCCCGACGGGAGTGGCAGCGGGAAGGGGCAGCCTCTGTTTATCCGGAGGAAGCTGAAATCCAAACTCCTGCTCCCGTCACTGCCGGGATTGTGGGAATGGCTGCATTTGGGATATGGGAAAGGCTGGAATTGGGATAGGATAGAGTGTGGAATTCCCAAACCTCCCCGAGTTCCCTTCCGTGTTTCCTGTGGGATTTTCCACCCAGGAATGGGATCCAGAGGTGCTGCCTGATGGATGCTGCATCCATCCCTGAGGTTTTCCATGTGGGATTGAAGGATGGAGTGGAATGAAGGGATTTTTCCATATTTGTGGAGCTTTCCATGGAATATGAGGGTTCGGAATTGCTCCTGGTTTGTGTTTTTCAAGGGAAAGGCAGGTTTGGGAAATTTCTGATATTGAAATAATTTATCCAAGATTTCCTGCTGGGAAAAGTGGAATTCAGCCGTTGTTGGGGTGGAGCTGTGCTGCTCCAAGGATGGGAATTGAGGATTTTTCCCACCCCTTGGATTTGATGCTGACGGATCCGACGGAAAATTCATCCCGGATTTCTATCAGGGAGCAAAATTCCATCCCTCCCATCCCAGCGATGGCTCTGAGTCCACTGGAATCCCAAGGATTCTCTACACAGATTCCTCAATCCCATTCCGTGATTCCAGAATCCAGAGGGTTTCCATCCCCTCTCCCTGCTGCTATTCCAGCCATTCCCAGCAAAAAAAATTCCCTCTCCACCCCGGCAATCCCCAAAATTCACGATTTTTCCAAATCGTTTTCCCTTTTCCCAACACAACCCAAAGGATTTTCCCTTTTCCAAGTGCTTCAGCAAAGGGAGGGGTGGGAGCTGCTGGAAGATTTCCCCTTTTCAGCCTTTTCCGTGGAAAACCTCGGAGCTGCCGGAGCCAGGAGAGCTCCAGGCTGTCCCTGGAATCTGGGTCACCGAGCTTCCCTCAGCCGGGGATCAGGGATCCAGGGATTAGGATTCACCTTGGATTAACTCAGCCTGCCGGCAAGGTCCGAGGCTGAAAACCGGGATAAACGCAGCCGGAATCCTGGATTTTTTAGGGATTTTTCCCCTGATATTGCCTTTATTTTTCCTTTGCCTTTTCCAGGTGCCCTGGGAATGGCACATTCCTTGTCCTTTTCCCAGTGTGTGCCAACAATTTGTATCAAAATTCCGGATTTCTTGGGAAGAAACGATCCCTAATAACCAAACTCAGTGTTGTCCTCTTAATATCCTGATAAATTTTGGGAAAATCCATCAAATCTTATGGTAAAAAGGCATTTACTCGGCTGATTCCTCAGAATAAAAGAGGTGGAATTTCAATTTTTGCTGTTAAAAATTCCATCCACCTGGAATTCCACGGTTTCTGTGGGAATTTCTGTTGCGGCCGGGGTGTGAATAAAGTTCTGGCAATGCAAATCAGAAACTCGGGAAAAGCAGGATAAGCTGATCCTTTGGATAAGCAGTAGGGGCCGGAACATTTCATATAACAAAGATAAAACCAGGAATTGCATCCCAGGAATTCACTGGGAGGCAGAACTAAGGAATCACCGACATTCCCCCGTTTCCTTTTCCTTCTCTGTCTCATCTTTGTGAATTTTTCCTTCCCAAATTCCTCCCCTGCAGCTCGAGGGAGGGAATGAATCCCAAGAAACCTTGGGAGCGACAGCTCTGGAGCCGTTCCTGGCCCCGCTCCGAGTTCCTGGAGCTGCCGAGGGCAGAATTCCCAGCACGTTCCTTTGTTCCCAATAAACGGAGCCGGGAGCTCGGCACTGGGAAAGTCGGGAAGGAAAATCCATGAAATATTCAGCGGCTGTGCCGAGCTGACCCAGTTATTCCGCACGCTCCGGCACGGAGCCAGAACGGAGCAGGGAAGGACACCGGGGTGGCATCCGGACACGGAGCTTCCTTGGGAATGGAAAAGGTTCCCATCCCGGTGGGAATCTTCCCAGGAGGCTCCGTTAAAGCTTTGGAAATTCCGCACGGAAAGATCCCAGCCTGTGGGATTGGGGATTTGCAGGGAGTTGTGTGATCCCAGAATTTGGGGTTTGTTCCGTGGAGGAGAACCTTGGAAAATGGTGGTTCCGAAGTTTGGGAAGGAAATCCAAAATTTGTGAGGGAAATTCCAAGTGCTCCAGCTCCAGGCTGGGTTGGATGAGCTTGGAGCAACCGGAGATAGGGAAAGGGATCCTGGGCGATGGCAGGGATTGGGAATGGATCCCCTGGGAGATCTTCCCACCCAAACTGTTCTGGGATTCTGGGATTTGTGCAGGATCCAATGGCTGAGGGGCTTTGGAGCCTCTGGAATCTCTTCCAGTCCTTTCACCCATGGATTTGGATAATGAAAGGAGAAGTTTGGATATTGGGAAAACTCCCTCACATAAAGGGTTTTCCAGCCCCGTCCCCATTCCCAGAGGGATTGAACATCCCTGTGGATGCAGCCCTTGGGGACACGGATCAGTGCTGGGAATGGTTGGACTCCACGACCTTGGAGTGCTTTTCCAACCCCAATATTCCATGATCCCATGAATTCATGCTGAGCTCCCAGCTGTCCTTTCCCT